GGGAGAGGGCTGGTGCTGGTGGGCCTGGCCTTCAGGGGCACTCTCCGATCCCTCATTCTTCTCCCCACTCTCACTATTCTGGTAATTCTGCTGGTAGTTGCGTGGAGGACCCCTGCGACGTGGATAGCCTCTATAATGGTTGTGGTCTGCTGCATATTTACTGCCTTGTACTGGAACTCCACCAGGGCCTGTAACATTTGCTGCCCCCGCACCCTTTTCTCCTTCAACAACATCAAACGCCACAGTCTCTCCATCTCCTATACTGCGAAGGTACTTCCTGGGGTTATTCTTTATGGCAGTCTGGTGTACAAATACATCTTCCTCGGTGTCATTCCTGTTGATGAAACCATATCCGTTTCTTACATTGAACCATTTTACTGTTCCCCAAACCTTCCTTGCGATGACCTTTTTTACCCCGCCGGCAGGCACGGCTGATGTGAGGCCACCCGGGCCACAGCTGCCCGTGGTGACTGGTTTGGTGTCGGCAGCACTGAGGGTGGGGGCTGCGGGCGGCTGGTGGGTTTCGGCCTCGCTGCTCATGGTTGTGGTGACTGGGGCCAGCTGTGGCAGCTGCCGCTCCTCCCGGGGTGTGATGGTAACTAGGCCGGCGGCAGTGGGGCTGCTCAGGGCTCTCTGGGGTCCGCTCTCTGCTCCCGCTACCGATCGAACTCTAAATATTTTTTATCCTGAAAAATTTTGAATTTAGAAAACTTGAAAAAAATAGAATTGTATAATGATCACTATTCATCCTTTAACTAGATTCATTGATTGGTCGGTCATACTTTGCTCCTTTTGTGTCGTTTTTCACATGCCATTTTTTCTGAATTATTTAAAAGAAAGTTGCATACATCATGAGGTTTCACTGGAAAACTTTCAATAGGCATCTTCTAAGACCAAGAACATTCTACATGACCACACTGCAAATTTTAGTTTTGAATAACATATTTACTTTTTTGCTTTACAATATAGAAATAGCTTTAGAGTTATAATTCTAATATTGCTATCATAAATCTATAAACTAGAGCTTAGATTTTGTTGCAGTCCTTTTTTTTCTTTGGAATATAAGGACACTAAAGATGAGCAATCAGGGTACTGTGTCCAGTATGGAACAGAGTAATTCAAGTAACTGAACACAATCCTAACTTAGTGAGACATATTCTAAGGTCAAAAGGGACTGCAAAGAAATCTTGATAATAATTTGATACAGAGATTCATTTGCTTCTTTTTGCATTCAATTTTAGGACCTGCTTTTAAAAATATTTTTATTACATATTTTAGTGAATTGCCTTTGTGAAATTTAATGCATAGAATTGCCATAGCAAATGGTCTCAATCATCATAGTTTTGTTGTAATGCAATAGAAAATGTAGCTTTGGATAGCAGAAACTATAATTTACAAAATAGCAGTTTTTACAGTTTTAAAAAGTGCAAATGTCTAATCTCTACTAAGAATTATATTTCAATTATATATTATTTTATGTTTACAAAGTGCTTTATCAACATAATTATCATGGACCTAACAATAGTTCTGTGGGGTATGCAGGAAGAACATTCTCCACAGATAACAAACCAAAATGAAACAGGCAGACTGATTGGCCCAAAGTCTCTAGGCTGGGCTATGGGAGCTGCCCCTGTAAATGCACCTTTCTAATTTCAGCTGTTGGAGGCCTCTCACAGTTTCTGGATGAGGAATATGCTTTGGTACTATAAGGACACACAAATGCCTCATGTGGTTATAACTATAGGTGCCTCAGTCCAATTGTTAGCACCAGTTGGTGGATGTAACTGTCTTGCCCACTGATTGTTTTCAAGACAACTGCTCACTCAGAATGAGGGTGTATAAGGGGAAAGCCACGAGCAACTATATTAGTTACCTGTGACCCAAGAACAGATCAGCTCACTCTGCATATTTAGTTAGACCTGTGGGTGGCAACCTTGGCTGCACATTAATTTATGGTTAAAAATATTGAAGCCCAAGGCACCCTCCACACCAACTGCATCAGACTTTGGAGTTGGAGTCTGGACATCAATTAAAAAATCCCCCAGGTGATTCTGATATGAATCAAGATCCAGAGAGTTAAGAGAAATGTGGTAAATCTCATCTCCTCTAAACCTATAACTCTTTATTAAATGGCTCAACTCTTGATTTGAACATAACAAAAATACATTTGTTATCTAATTGGTCTACAAATTTTTGGCTCATTGCTGTTAATTCAATAAAGCTAAACTTATAGAACAATCCTGCTTAGCATTACACTTTGCCTGTACTATCTAATTTAAATCTCTCTTGAGTAGTCATTCTTTTCATTTCACAGGCAAGAAAGCTGAGGCATTTGGGGTTTAGTGTTTACATTACACAGCTGCTAAGTGGTGGAATTGGAATTCAAACCCAAGTAATCTTGACTCAAACACTCAACACATATAACATCTGAGCATCAGTGCCTACATGAGAACTATTGATTTCATGGGCTGATTCTATGGTTGGTTGTTGACATTTGTTTATGACTTTACATCTCCCAATATTAGTGATAGCAACTAAAATGGGCTCAGATCTTCCTCATCTCTACTTTTTTAGTGTCTTGTGATCTTTTCCAGACAAACAGGTTCCTTGAGGGAGAAGCCATGTTCTGTTCTATACTACTCTATCTTCCATGCCATGACCAATGCCTGACCCAGAGTAAGGCTCACACCCTAACTATTGTTTGAATGACTGACACTCTAAGCTACATGGACTATACAAATTTGACTAGATTACACAGTCATATATAAAAAAAATATACAAATCCTTTGGGAATTAATACTGTGGTGTTAAGCTAGAAAATAAATGAAATATTTAATCCACTGAAAGTACAAAAATGTTTCCCTTAAGAACAATATAGGAATGTCCAGTTTTACCACTCTTATTAATATAGTACTGGAAGTTCTAGTCAATACTATAATCAGACAAGAAAAAAAAAAAGGCATCCAAATTGGAAAGAAGGAAGTAAAACTGTCCTTATTCATAGATGACATAATATTGTACATAGAAAACCCTAAAGACTCCACCAAAAAAGTATTAGATTTAATAAATGAATTTGGCAACACAGCAGGATACAAAATTAACATCCAGAAATTGATGGTACTTTTATATACCAATAATAAACTCAAAGAAAGAGAAACTAAAAAAAGCAACCCCATTTACCATTGTAACAAATAAACAAACAAACAAAAAATAAGACACCTAGGAATAAACTTAACCATGAAGGTACAAGACATGTACTCATAAAATGATAGAGAATTGAAAAAAGAAATAGAAGAAAATACAAACAAATGGAAACATATACAGTGTTAATGAATTGTAAGAATTAGCATCATTAAAATGTTCATACTGCTCAAAGCTATCTACAGATTCAATATGATCCTTATTAAAATATCACAGAGTATTTCACAGATCTAGAACAAATACTCCAAAATTTTATATGGAATCAAAGAAGACCCAAATAACCACATCAATGTTAAGAAAGAAGAACAAAGTTGAAGGAATCACAATACTGGATATCAAACTATTGTACAAAGCCATTGTAATCAAAACAACCTGGGACTGGCACAAGAACAGGCATATAGATCAATGGAACAGAACAGAGAACCCAGAAATAGAGCCATGCCATTATAGTCGGTTAATATTTGACAAAGAAGGCAAGAGCACACAAAGGGGTAAAGATAGTCTTTTTAATAAATGGTACTGGGAAAATTGGACAGAAATGTGCAAAAAAATGAAACTAGACCAACAACTTACACCATCCATAAAAATAAACTCAAAATGTATAAAAGATTTAAATGTAAGTCATAAAACCATAAAAATCCTAGAAGAAATCATAAGCAACAAATCTCAGACATCTTACATAGCATAATTTTCACTGATATATCTCCAAGGTAGAGAGAAACAAAGGGATAAATAAATAAATAAATAAATAAATAAGACTATATCAAACTAGAAAGCTTCTGCACAGCAGAAAGAACCATCATCAAAGTGAAAGGGAGACTACTCTATGGGAGAACATATTTGCCACTGATACATCTGATAAGGGGTTAATTTCCAAAATATATAAAGAACTCATATAACTCAATAAAAGGAAGACAATTAATCCAATTTAAAAATTAGCAAAGGACCTGAATAGACATTTCTCCAAAAAGGACATACAGATGAAACATACGAAAAAATGTGCAATGTTACTAATCATCGGAGAGATGCAAATTAAACAACAATGAGGTATCACCTGCCAGAATGCCTACCATTAATGAGTCAATAAATAACAAGTGCTGGCAATGATGTGGGGGAAAGGGAACCCTAGTCCACTGCTGGTGGGAACGCAGACTGGTGCAGCCATTATGGAAAATAGTATGGTGTTTCCTCAGAAAATTAAAAATGGAACTTCTGTTTGACTCAATGATCCCACTTCTGGGAATATATTATAAGAATCCTTAAACACCAATCAGAAGGAATATGTTCACACCTATGTTCATAGCAGCATTATTTACAGTAGCTAAGATCTGGAAACAGCCCAAGTGCCCATTAGTAGATTAATGAATAAAAAAGCTTCTGTGGCACATTTATACAATGGAGTATTATGTGGCTGTAAAAAAGAAGTCTCTCTTATACTTTTAGAAAGCATGGGTGGACCTGGAGATTATTATGCTAAGAGAAATAAGCCAGTCAAAGAAAGAAAAATATCACATGATCTCACTTATAAGTGGAATATAATGAACAAAATAAACTGATGAACAAAGTAGATTCAGAAGCATGGATGCATGGAACAGATTGACAGATCTCAGAGGAGAGGGTGGGAGGGGAACTGGAAGAGATTAACCAAAGGACTTATATACATATATGCATAGCCCATTGACACAGACAATGGTGTGTTAAAGGCCTGGAGTAGGGCAGGGGCTGGGTAGAGGGGGGCAAGGGAGAAAAATGGGGGACATCTATAATACTGTTAACAATAAAAATAAATAAGTAAAGTGAGGGGGGACAGTACATAGTGAACATAGTGAGTATGCAGGGTTTGAGAATGAGTTACCCTAACATGTGCCTCTGTGGTATGGAGTATTACTTTGAGCTTGCCAGCTAAAGATAACTTCTCTCCTACCTCTTAACTTCATAGAAGAATTTTAAATTAGGGACCTTGCCATAATAGGAGTTAAAAACAGTGTCACATCATGACTGGATCAGCAGGCTGTGTCCCTGCCCTCTGCTCAGGCAGCTGCAAGGCCTGTGGTAGGATAGGATACTATAGGAGGGGATAAGAAAGGAGAGGGAGAGGAAGGCAGGCCTGCATGCAGACAGACTGAGAGGAGAAACAAATACAGAAAGGGAACAAAAGACACAGGAATGGAAAAGGGAAGGAAATGCGGGGCTGCATGCAGGAGGGGGTGGCAACCATGGTGGGGGGGAGCAGGTGTGCCTGGTGAGGGGTGGGGTGCAGGCAGTGCAGAGCAGGGAGCCCTGACCACACGCAGGAGGAGGGCGGTGACCCCCGATGGGGGCCCGTTGGCAAGGAGGTGCCCACGGGTCCGGGAGGGAGTGGAGGACGGTCTGAGGCCTTCTGGGTGGAGGCGCTCCTGCTTTGTGGCAGCAGTGCCTGGGCTGTGCTGGTCTTGGCCACCTTTGCTGGGCTGGGTGTC